TGACTGATATCCGAAAGAATCCTCAATCTCCGATACCTTTAACCGAGAGACTCCGAGTAGCTTTCAAAACCCGCTGGGCCAGTCAAAAATGAACCCCACAAAACGCTGGTTTGTCTCTCTTCATTTTGTGATATTCATAAACTGGGAGCCCAACCTGGGTGGCCCAGCTACTATTTTGTTTGTGAATAATAAAGTGAAAGGCTAAATTAAAGTTATAGAATGATAAAACCGAAATACATTTCCTGCATGAAAAATTATAATGAAGAAATACTTTTCCGAGAGGAGATGGGGAGATACTGTATAGAAATACTATTGAAGTTGCTACACGCGTGTCTCTGATACACTGGCTAGCAGACCGAATCCCAATCTGATAATTCTTCAATTTGATGATCTACTTTTTGATAACTTAATTAAATTCAGCATTAAGTTTTATTGATGTAATACAAAATACGCTCCCAGTTTAATAAATGATGACATTATCGATTTGAAAATGTATACTTCTGATATCTGTTGATAAACATTTGTGAAAAGTTTTGGTTTTCCGATTTAGTTGTATAAAATATTAATATATTTTAACCTAACTATCGGATTTTAAATAAAAATAATCAAGATGCTTAATGTTTGCATTTTTAAAGAATAAATCCACTCTTGTAAAGATTAATTCCTTTTTGAATGTGCGACTTAACGTCTTAAGACAATAGCTTTCATTAAACGTCCTGAAATTAATAAGTCCAATAAAAAAAGCGATGTCAAATTGATAATCAAAATGTGATATTTTAGATGCGTGTCAATGTGCGTTTCTTTTTTCGCGGAAAAGGTGCCCGTTTCCGATTCTTCTCATTATTCCTCTGTCAGATCGACTCATATGATAAATGACTTGAATCGTTATATTCTTAGGCGAGAAAAACCAACAAAGACGGTTTAAGCGAAAAAAGCAAACATATCTTAGACCAATCTTTTAAGCCCCTGTCAAGTGCTTGGTAGTACCTTATGCAGAAACCTTTTCATCCAGTAATTATTTTGCCCCTAATTTTCATGTATCGAGAAAAAAATTTCAGAAGTATAGTAATTTATCAGGTTTTATGAAATGGAATACGTGTCTTGTCAATTAGTTTACTTTTACTTTAAGGTACAATTGTAACATTCTTTGATCTTATAAACATGAATAAATACTAGTTGATATTTTTATGTAAAAAATAAAAAAAAGCATTAAAAAATACATTGTTTTCCGTCCTATCGCACTGAACTTTTGTTTGAATAAATCTTTTTATTCATTTTAGAAAGGTCTTACAAATTATTGTCAAACGTTCATCTGTTTAATTTTCAATATATGTAATTTTCTTTTGATCTAGCTTTATATTAATGTAAATATTAGCCCCGGAATCAATGGAGTTTATAATGTAGATTTTATATGGATGCACAGCCTTTTTTTAACGAGAAACTTGTGATTTATACATGGGGTGGTTGCCTTCATTGTGTATGCTCAATTTCACATGAAGCATGAAAATCTCTCTACCTTAACTCTGATGTGGACCTACCAAGTTGGATGGGAATTTTTATCTTAAAAAGGAAAAAAAAGAAGTTGATTGCTTTTAAACAATTCATTAGTTTAGACTGAATGGCTAATGCTCCCCTCGAATAACGTTGATTAATGCTACATACATTTAACAATTCATGTGAGGTCTTCGCAGGAATGGTATAAAATTAGAATTATGAATAAAATATTAATTCTTCTTTTAAAAGTAAGTTTCACTTAGAAAAAGTGTTGCTCTTAAGATATAAATTACATCTTAGTAATAAAAAAAATTATGCAATTTTTTTTCAATATACATATTGTACAAAACTGGGTTCAATTGATTTTATTTAAGGACATAGTATTCTCAACAAAAATTGTTACAGAAACAGTTTGTACAGGATTATTATCGCTAACACATCTTTCACAAAGATTTTTTGAAGCCAGCCTCCCTCCAAAAATTATTGTTTCATATTTACGAACTCGAATTCAATGCAAAAACAAAAAAAAGATGATATGAAAATTATCAACAATTTTCTTGTTTTGTTAAAAAAAACACGAATAGAGTAAGATATAGGATTTAATGCATTGCAATTCTTAAAGTTAAATAATGACTGTCATTGTTTTGTGATCACTTAAAAACAAGCATTAATTACACTTTAAATAATATCATAGAAACATATATTCTTTTACATAGAAAAGTGATAGCATTATAGAAAACCTTGTGATGATATGCGTTAAAGTATAATAAAACCAATATGTATTACATTATTCATTAAAAAAAATTGGGGTATCCTATATCTTACAAAAAATAATATCATGTCTAACCAGATTTAAACGCAAATATAATTTTATTTGACATGATTTAAGTAAAGACCAGTATGCTGTCATAGAATACAGCACGGTGAATCAGTAACGCCCACATTTACTGATTTCTACATATAATTATCCAACAATTCAATTATTTCAGATTGCCGTCATAATAAAGGGCATCGACGAATAAATAAGATTAAGTCATTGAAAAAATATTATTTTTTCAGTGGAAACATTTGGAAAAATTTGTATTATATTGTATATATGTTTCAGACTTGCGATCGGGCATCTCAATATAAAGAAATTTAAAGTTAGAACGATTTATTCGTTAGAGAGTTTTAAACGCGTATAGTTTTAAATTTGTTTATTATATTTTCTTTTTTATTTTTTTAGATCGTTATTTATGATGTATTTGTTTATTTATTTTAATGCTAAAATAAAGGAAGACAAGACAGAGCAGATTGGTTGCTATGTACACGCCGTATATCAATATTCCTGAACTTGACGAGAAGAAATAAGATGCAACTGACATACAGGCGAAGTCGTAATAAATCCATCTCATTTCTTACTCGTCATACAAACAACCTGGACACAGAATCTGCCCAAAAGGACCGAAAAGACGACAGAGTTTTTGTTTTTGCAGACGGTTATCGTAAGATCGAGTATATCCACCTGTAAGAGGAGCGGTCATTCAATCCATGTCAAAATCGAACAGATTACTCGATTAAGCAAAAAAGAAGACTCGACTATTGAATGAATGGGACCTATTACGTGTCCTGTATTAAAAAGGGTTATTGTTCCTTATTAATAGATGGAGCTGATTAGAAAGATACAGATCAGAAACATACCTGATGGTCTTGTTTGTTTTATAGGGGGTATAGCGGGGTTTTATGATGAGTAATCCTTTAGTTTTATACTAGTATGTCAAGTCCGTACAATTGTTTCTGATATTTCTCAAAATCAAAATGAATGATTTCAGATTTTATTTCATTTTTTTCTTTTTTTTTTATTTTAAATATTTTTAGTGTTGGTGGTGCTGGTGTTTGCACGTATGGCATAGATATATCTACATGTATTATTATATTTTATATATATAACATGTTTCATAGCAACATATAATTATATTATTGTATTTTTGTGCTTAATTTAGAAATGCTTTTCTGAGGGTTTAAAGAAGATATAATAAAAATATAAACTTTGCACATTATTGGTCTTTAATATTTATTTAGCATCGGTTTATATCGAAACTTTCAGCTGAATATTGACACCTGCACATCAGGTTAGCTTCTAGGACGAGAAAACACGATATTCTCGTTGACGAGAACGACAGGGAAAATTGGAGTACAAGGGGCAAATTTCCATCCAAAATAAACACAGAAGGAAGACGTGAAGGAGATAGCCAGTCTTTCATTTAGATCACATAAAAACGAAAACTGTGTCCCAACATTGCACATATTTACGATCGAAATCTGTAAACTGATAAGCCTACAAAAATTTAAGAACCCTGGCTGCCCAAGCCTTAGGAAATAAAAACATATACCCCTTGCACGTGTTCAAATGAGGCTTTTATGGTGGTTTGTTTATAAATTGCTATCAAGATTTTTGAAGCTTCAGAACAGTGTCTAATTTTATTTTGTCTAATGACTGTAATTTTCTTGAATGTGTAAATTGTATGAAGAATTTTACTCGGGGCAACTTTCAAAGATATGTTTACACCTTCTGATCTTTATTATTTTGGTATATATTCTATTAAAGAACTTTTTAAAAAAATAATATTTGAATTTTATTCCAAATAGAGAATTTGTCAGTAATGTTATTTATTTAAAATCGAGCATAATTACTTTTTTTTATATTTAAACTGACGAACATAACTAACATAAGATCACAGTATAATTTAAATAAAATCAGTCATTGTCTTCTTAAAATTCTGCCAAGGACTTTCCTCTTACAATTTCTGAAAGATTGCCTTTCCAAGATATTTAATTGAAAATAACATTTCTGTTTGATGAGTTTTAAACATTTTATTCTTTGTCTCATGTTTTAATGATTATTTATCTAAAGGACACAAAATGTTTCATTTTCGTTTTAAAACCAGCATTGAGAGATTATTAGTAAAATTATAACTATTATTATTAACTTCAATTTTTTCCATATATATTATTTTTGTTTAAAGTTATTAGTGTTACTTAAATGGGGATAGATTGTTTATTTTTTTTAAATAAACACTGTGCCTTTCTGGAAATCAAGCGAAAGAAGGAAAACAGTACTGATTTAATTTTAACTGATTAAATAGAACCATTTTAATTTAGTTTTGACGGGTAATTATGATTAGCTTTCTTTTAAATAAATTAGCATGCTTTAGTTGGACATAAAAAAGTGAATCTTTGTAGGGTTAATATATATATGCTCGATTAGATACAATCTGCATAAATTAGTAACATGTCCAGGGAAAGATTTAAACCAGGAAATGTAAACTGTATCAAGATGATCCAAGAAAAACATGAAAGTGGTCAGGGTAAACCGAAAGTCTTGAAATTCGATATACGAAAGTCGTGTCCCGGTTTGTTTACATTTAAAATGCGCAATGATGAATATAGGAAATATGGGTACACACGTCACGTGGATTATCCTTATTGTCCGGGATGAGATAGGTAAAGGTGTAATAATCACTTACCTGAATAGGTATACGGGTCCATCATAGGCGCCTGCATCTTGATTTCACTTTAGTTGGATGCAGGTGTGAATGATCCGGGGCCAGACTCTATCACGTTGTCCCTGTCATGTATAGGGTAAACGATCCAGTACACAAAACACTCGCCACATATAAAAAATATTCTGTTCTATTATGTCTTTCTCTGGCCAAGTTAGACTCAAGTTATACCTTGCTAGGTGATCACTGTTCAAGAAAAATAAGAATATTTTACTATCTGTGTAATAAATGCAGAACTACTGGAATTTCTTATCTATTTAACTCTAGCCCCACCCCCTTGCTGTCGACGGCTTTGTTTCCACTGCTGAATCGTTCCTTGTCTTGCTAGAGCGCCGAGGCGTGAAAGCTATTGCAGTTCACCTATGTGCTATATGATTGGTAGAAATAATATTTGCTATGTAACACGCTCTAATATTTGATTTTTTCGGCGGGTGAAAAAAATATTGACCCCGCTATGTAATAACTGGTCATTATCTTAAGACAATTTGATACTTAATATCTTTAACAAAATGACTTTTATTACTATCTGTTCGACGAAGCCGACAGAACGTGCGTTTTGTGACTTGTGAAGATATTCATTTCAAAGCAAGGAATGAATCTTATTAAGGCAGATAATTTTCTAGAGAGGGACAGTGTAATTCAACATGTGGACCGTCTAATTGTCATATAGCATAACCAATGTAATTTCCTTAGCTTCCGAAATCAATGTACGGTTTATCTCCTGAAGCCTCCGTGTGTCTGTATTTCTTCACCTAGCGGTCTGTGATGCTCAGCAAACCTGATTGGATGTCTTAAGACATTGAATTTTTGTTTTTATAGAAGCTAAAGATGGGACCCCGGTTGCAACATTCTGTTTTTAAAGGTCAGTTCTGATCTAAAGGTTTTAACGTGAATAAAAGAATATTTTCTAAGATGTGTTGCTTTTGTTTCTTGTCAATTTCTAAGTAAATATGTGTTCTACATAACAATATTTATATTAATTTCATACTAAAATGTATAAGTAACACCATTTATAAAATCGGTTGCTTGTAAAATACACTTCAATATTTGAAGACATAAAAAACAAACAAATGAAATATTCTAAAAGATCGATATAAAATAGTAAAGGATTTATCAAATTGCAATGCATACATTATTTACGAGAAGTAGATCATTACATTTAATCAATGTGCTTTAATATGTGTATATTACATGTATCTAAACTGAATAATTTTATTTCAAAAAATGAATAATTTTATTTTATATAAAAGAAGACTGAATGTTAATTCCAAACACTTATAAATATTTTGTTTTGAAATCTGAGATTCTCACAATGTATAAAAATGATGTTCAGAAAATAGGGGGAAAAAAAGAAATTTATCTCGAAGATGATGCATTTTGAATGCAATTTTTTTTTCATTTCATCATTTCAAAGAAATAATTTTTTAAATACATATTTATGTTTATACATGTACAATAAAAATCTTTTTAAAAGTAGTTTCCTCAAAGAAAAAAAATATGCTTTCCATATATTAAGATTCTAAAGCAAAAACAAAAATGATATGACTACTGATCTGGGAAACATTTGCCATATTTCTGAATTCTGTTTAAAAACAACTGAAATATAATTGAATTTGCAAGTGAGACCGGAAAGAAAATAAAATCCAAAGTGTATACACAGATGAAATCCATTTAGTAAATTGTATTTATTCCTATGTTACCCAGGACTCAGTTGGGAAAGCAAGAGAAATGGTAAATTTTATAATTTGGATCCATATTTGTTTTTATAAATAAAAATATTGACAATGATGATCATTTGTTAAAGGGCATTAAACAAAATTGCAAAATACATAATGCATACGGATTGCTTTGCTCAAAAGGATTCGCTAAGTAATATTTTTTGTATGTGTGTTTGTATTTTATCAATATATTTTCAAAAAGATATGACTACTGTAAGTATTATTAAGCAACTTGAGAATTTGCATATTTTGTGGAAAAAACATATTCAGAGTTTGAACAAAGTACATAGTTTTCCCTTAACAATTTCAGCATGTGTTAATTTTTTTTATTCGATGTGCTTAAATTCAATAGTCCTCGCACATATTCTGGGGCCAAAACTCGCTTTTACATGCCTTTTTTTTTTATAAACTCATGAAAAATTCTATGCGTTTATGAATAAGATTAACAAGTAGTTCTTTCATGTGTAATGAAAGTTCCAAATATTTACAATGTCACGATAAAACAATAAAAAGGTCAAAATTATATAAGTTTAGCAATTTATTATCCATAGTAATACAAAGTGATGTATTTCAAAATAAGTAGAAATCGTGGTTTAAAAAAAAAATAATATGTACCAAATTGTCTTAAGAATGTTATTAACAGGGGGTGATAAAATCGTGAAATTACAAGTTTTACCATGCATATTTAAATTTAATCATAATATATCAACAACACCAGAAAAAAAATACTCATTTACAGAAGTAAATAACCGATAATATGTTGGAAGACCACACCGAAGTTAGTAAGTGAACTGATGTAACAAACTCTGACACACCCTGTGAAGCACTAATAAAAGATAAAATAATCCTATTGAAAATGCCAGAGTTTATAAGCATAATAATAAAGAACTACACATTCAATGTTTTCAGAACATAGTATATTTTGAGCTCAGCATATAGAAATACATTTCAATAAAATAAGAGTTACAATGGTAAGCATGCTATATATAAAAATGTCAACGAATATTTCTAAAGTTTTATATTTTATGTGCAAAAGATTTCTAGTGCGATAGTTATTGGAAAAAGTTTTCTACATAAATGGATAGTTTTCTACATAAATGGATAAGGATTTTACATGAAGATCGTAAGATTTCCACATGAAGATAATTTAAAATCTGAAGAAAATGTAAACGCTTGCATTCTAATATCAGCTTCGTTTGTATATCGTATGTATCATATGATATTCATATCAAACACCTTATTTAGCTTTATATTTGAAAAAAAAAATAAAAAGTGTATCGATTTTTTTAATTATACACAGATGAATCTCTTGCTAAAAGACATCCACAATTTAAAATTTGGGCCACCCAAAAATAATGAAATTTAGAAAATACAATTTACCCTTATAGCAACATAAAACAGATTATAATCTTAATGCAAAAAGATTTCAAAATGAGTTTCGGTTCCATTTCTTTATATAGATATAAGGGTTTTAGAGATTTCTGCGAAAGGAAAAAAGTCGTTAGATAAAATCATTCTATTATCTATAGCATTCTTAATCATACATTTCGAAGTGAACTTGATGTGTGATTTGCTATTGATTTATGTTTTCAATTTGTAAATTATTTTCTGTAAAACCCATTTCAGAAGCATTTATTTACATACGGAACAAACGTAAAATAACTTTTACATAGGATTTAATAAATTACTACTTCATATGAATGCATTGCAAACTTAAAACATAAAAGCTGGTATTTAAATTATCTATTAAATGTTGCTTTATAGTTTAATCCTTCTGTGTTTATAAAACTGAATATTCGTTTAATTTCAGTAACGTTTCAATAAGAAATGACGAGGAGAAAATACAGCGGGAAAGCATGGAGTAAAAGTTCAAATTTAAAAAAAGTAAACATGCAAGAATTTAAAAAGCTAGAAAACTTTTTACAGAACTACGCATACAGTTTGCTAGTGCATGTGAAGTTGACGTAAAACAACATTGAATTATTGTAAAATGGGCCTAATGATTGATTGATTGTTCAATGTTGTTTTATGTCCAATTTAGGAATTTCTCACTCAAAATAGGACGTTGCCATAAACATACTGACGAAGGGATATGAATTTAGACCTTTAGTCGGAACTCATGGCCATTGAGCAGTGAAGGACTTTATCGTATCAACGCTTGCCGTGTCCCACAGCCCCGGTTTTAAAGTCTCATTCGAAAGATTAGCAACTTTCACTTCAAGGCGCGGAGGCTTAGCAAAGGAACAATTACAACATATTCTTTAACGACTGATATTTTGAACCAACAGCTCTCCGATCATAAAGGAAACCGAGCTTAAGAATAATACGAGCTATATCCATATTGATAAGCGGTTAACGTATAAATTTTAGAAACTTTTAAACTATCCACCCAAATATGAGAAATACAAAATGAAAATTAACGAATTACGAGTGCAGAAAGGAAAGGTGGGTATTATTGAATACCGTAAGGAGGAACCGTGCATTAGTAATAACATTCATATTCTGCGCAACGTCTATACCTACATTTAGCACTTGAACCTTTTAATTTTAAGTCACATAGGTTATAAAGAACACACTTTTGATTAATTTAATTTAACAATAAATAAATTTTTTTAGCTCATTATTCAGCCTTATTTTGCGGTATTTTTAAACTTTAACAAGTACAGTATTTGGTCATGAGTAATTCATTATTGCAATATTACACGTTATAAAAAAAACAATTAAAAAGAAACAAACATTGATATAAATTAAATTTTAGCCTTTTTGTATTTAATTATGTAAAATTGTTCAAATTTTCTTGTAACAAATTGATAAAAGAATGGAATAAAGAGATAATGAACAGTATTAAAGTTCATCAGAAGATTATTCAAACAATACAAATCAGGAGCAATGAAAACATGGATCTTTAAAACATCAGAAGCGGAATCAGATGCCATGGAGCAATGAGCATCTCCTGCCTGTCTTACCTGTGTGCTCCTTTTCGTGATCGGGAAACACCTCAAGACAATTCAGTTTAAATATTATGGCCTAATTATTACATTGAATAAAAACGTCAGTCGGTATTTGAAATAATAACTAAATATCGATAGAATGATTTTTAAAATCGTCAGGACAAAAATGCTTAAGACGAAAAGACACTACAGAGTCTGCAAAATCTGCTTTATGACTATGTTTGGATATTTAACTACTATAAAAGACAGACCAACTACCAAATAAATGGATGACAAAGAGGATGACGTCAGCTTTTCCATCGTTTATTTTCCATTAAATATTCCATTATTATTGTATAATATTCCACTATCACCTGCATATGGTGTTTTTGACATACATGTAAGTAGTGTAACTTAATTTTCGCGAGATACTCATTGACTCTTTATTAGCGACACAAAATTTTCACGAATTGTGGTCATTGCTCTACATAATCTTAAAGATTTCTATTATATGCGAGAATGAAATTTTCGCGAGAATACCGTCTCGCGTAATTACGCGAAA